TTTTTCAAGAAACTTTCCAGTACTCATCTGTTCAGTGTTAACCATTCCATTCTTTCCTTTTTTTTTTTTTTATATCAACATCACAATAATACTTTTCTGTTTGGATTCGAGTTTATTTTCTTAGGGGAGGGACATTATCTTTCATGTACTTCTAAAGTTCCACAGGCATTTACAGTCACATGCTTATATATATTTGCATGCTTGAACATAATTTTGAAAAACTATTTAAAGAGTTGTCAGAGTAATACACATAGAGCAAGCAACAATACAAAAAAACCGTACAAAAGCATACAAATTGTAAGTGAACACAAAGAAACCTGTCTAAACACATACAATTACCTACTAATGTTATCTTTCCTCATGCACTAAGCCTTGTCTATGTCTGCTTTCCGAATTTATAATTGGCAGAAACTTTTGGAGAAGATGAATTTTGCTAAGAAACCTGAGCATTCATAACAAGCATCAGTTGAAAGTGTGAAAAAATACTGCAAATATTTATGTTAGGGATCCATAGTACCAAAAGTTAAGTCCTCATTTCACTACAAAAAAAAATTCCTCATCTTAACATACAAAAGGCAAAGGATGGATGGATAATCTGTGATATTTTTTCTGGATATGCTTACCAAACTGAACACTGTTTTGTTTCAGGTATTTTTTCCATTTTGCCCTGTCATTTCTATTTTAGTTTAAAGTCATTCAGGCAGCACCAAAAGCTAGACTAATACCAATAAAGAGTTTCTCTACCAAAAAGAGCCCTACTGAGCTTGTGCTGGGATAGCTGGGATGTGCCTAAACTGTATAACGTGGGTACTCAGGAGTGCATCTGCATTACTGGTTGCTCCATCATACAGCTTCAGAGTTCTGTGGGAATACACCACAGATCTAGTTTTGCCTGAGATTTTCCTGCCCTTAGATCCAATTTTATACATGGTCCTAGTGCCTTAACATGGAAAGACCGAAAAAGCCCTTTAGTTGTAAACTGATTCCATTATGGGAAATAATAACAGTGCACATCCTCTAAGCAGACATTTATTCTAGAGAAAATGTCTTACATATCTAGAAGTGTGTGTGTTCACCCCAGCTAGCCTCATGACTGAGTGGTGACTATTTAAGATACCTCTTTTGAAGAGAGAGATCTTCTCCCTTGTGAAAGGGTATGCCATGCTACTACCTAAAGACTTGAGCCAAACCCATGTCCCACAGCAAAAGGGAGATTATAAAGAAGAGATAAGATTCACCATTATATCAATGTATCAATGCATTGCTATGTCAGATAAAAGTATGCAGAGCTGATAAACTATTTTGTTGACCTACTTTTTACTTCTGTTCTGAAACAGTCTTCTCGATGTGTATAACTGAAGGGTCCTACAGTCAAACAAATTTTGAAAAAAAAGATGGCCAATGCAAGTGGCAGCTCTGAAGACCTTATTTCCTTGGGCATAAGCAGCTTCACTACAAAATTCTACTGACCAAGAAAGACGTCTTTTCCAAGCCTATCCACGCACTCTTCCTGTTCCTGGAATTCTACTCTCTCAAGCTTATGAATCACAGTGACATTCTGCTGCTTTCCAAGAAATTTGAATCTCAGTTTAGGTACTGAAGAAGAAATAGGTGAATAGGTGTCAAGGACGATGATAACCGTACTTACGAATCTACCATAAATCAGGAAGTTTTTCCTAAGACAAGACATAACATTTAATTGAACTTACAATATTGACTTGGGTGGACAAAGAACATCTGGAGAAATAATGTCTGGCAGAAGAAGTGCATGGGAAAAGTGAAGAACTGGACTAGCCTTTGACTGAGTCCAGTTCTCATTTGTTGTCTTTACTGATTATTTCTGATGGCCTGGAAGTAGCATGATAAATAGGAAATTCGCTGCTGTCATCTAGACAGCAGTTTTTAATGCAATAATAAAACCAGATTTGATATATCTTCCTTTGTTCATTATTTATGTCAGTGAAAGAGCCAGTAGATACACAGTGATGTAACTAGGAGCATAATTTACCCTACTGACTGCAAAAATCAAAGCTACAGGGAATATATAGACTGAAAAATCCATGCCCAGCAGACAAAGAAGTATATACTTCCAGACTGCCATGTCTCTATCTGTCTTCACTTGTACCTTTCATAAAAAAAGCTGTCTCCTACTATTTTAAGACACTTAATCTCTAAGCAGCATTATACGTAAATAATAATAAATATTGTACAATGATAACCTGCGTTGTCCTGTGCTATGCTGTATGTCAGAGCTGAATAATGATATTTCATTGAAACAAATAGTCCAAAAAGTATATCAAGTTTGGGAGATCTAACATAAATATTTTACTAAAATTCATATATTTTTGTAAACTTATAGACCTACTTACCTTTGTATCTGGTAGTCAGTAGAGAAGTCGTGAATTTGACCAATTAAAAACTAATTTTTAAAATAGATTTTACATAATCTTTGAAGTCCTGCATAACTGCGAAAGAACAATTTTCACTAATTTTTCTGACTTCCACGTTATGTATCTGACAGACAAGAGATCTAAAAATAGAATCCTTTCCAGTGCTGTCAGAGGGCCTTGGATAAAACCAGACAATTCCTCCCTAACCCTGTATAGTCAAATGGAATAGTTCTATGCTCAGAGATATCTCTCTTTTCCTAAACTTCCTTACATATCCCTTGATCAAGATAACTGTATGAAATCCTAACTAATTTACAAGAAAAAAAAACCTTATATAGAATCAAGAATAAAAATGAAACAAAGAAAAACAAACAAATAAAATCCCCCAGCAGCACCGCTGATTACTGTCTCAATAAATTCTTTTAAACAGAAAATAAAGATTCTACAACACCAGATAGAGCAATTTCTTACGTAATACAAAATTTGTAAACAAACAACGTTTGCATCTGATGTAATTCAGTTCCTCAGGTTGTTAAAATGGTTCTTATCTGTATTTAATTAATAAAAATGGCTTTTAAAGTGCTAAATATTTGTCCCATGACATTACACTTTCACATTACATAAAGCAAATAACAACAGAATGGTTGTTTCCAGAAATGTAAATATCTACAGAAGTAATACTTCAGAACAGACTGATATTACATATTAATGTTTACCATTTCCCATGGTTCCATTTGTGTATCTCAGAAAATTCTGTATGTATTGGGAAAATTAACAATTTCTAACATTATTTTTTTCACTTTATAGATAGTTACCAGTTTTACTTAATTTGAGCACTATCTAAACCTATCATAGAGCATTCCCTTCAGACATCTTTCTGAAGCTTCTCATTGGAATGGCTTCCATGAAAGGAGACCTAAACTAAGGTCAAAATTTGCTGTAAAAAGATGCTGTTGTACTTTCAAGTGGCTTCCAAGTCAATCTAGAAGATCATGCTATTTTGTGGGAAGGCTGGAAATATTCACTTTGGTCGTCAAAAATAGCAATAAATGTATATTTTGACAAGAAAGACACTTATTCAGTTCGGGTCAACATCAGCAGATTTCTCTATGTGTAAAGGAAATATTCTAGAGCACTCAACAATAAACCCATGGATATGGCATATACAAGAGTCAGTGATGAGACTTGAACAAGGTAGTCACAGGAACATAATTCCATACTAGTAGTGTTTCTGAAATATTTCTGGTTTTAGAAAAAATTAATAAACTGCAGAGAGCTTCAGAATATTAGTTTTGCAATGAGAACAAGAGAAATTTCAGTATCTGATTGTAAATGACAGAACAGTGAAGGTTGTCTCCATATCTATTTAATCCTGACCTCATAAGAAAAAGCAGACAACAAGGCTGGCATGAATAATAGTTCATTTTGGAAGTGGGCAAGTCCTGAGAGTTACTAGTGAGACTGCAGTTGATATATATATACATATATCTATATATATACATATATATATAGTCAAAAAGTCAGTGATTTAGAATTCTTGTTCAGAAATAGAAACTTCTAAGTTTGTTTCAAGAATTCCTGAAATTTCTTCTAGCAGGTAGGACATGCTAGGGCAAGCAAGGACTGTAACTGCTGTCACATACTATAAGGTCTACATGCAGACCTTTTGTAAGCAAACACTTTTTTGCAGCAGTGTTGTACCAGTTATTCAGTTGTTAATGTAGAAATATAGCTGTTAAAACACAGTACTCTTCAGAAACAAAGAGAGAAGAGGAATGTAGGGCAGGTACTGGAAATAACAAAAGAAAATGGGCATAAATAATCCTATACCTATGCAACTCAACACTCTCTCTCTTGACCTTTCTTTCACAAATTCCATGGGCCATGCCAGGAAGTAAGAGGATACTATTGTAAACATTATTTTTAGGATTTTACAGTGTGACTAATAATAATATATCATTCACATCCATACAGTAAACATATAATCAAAACTCTATGTCTTTCTCTTAACTGTTGCTAGCAACTGTGAATTATATATAGTTACAAACAAGTTACTTTTCTTTATCTTGCTACTTTAAGCTCTTTTAAGAACATTTTTTAAGTTCTACTGACCTCTGTAGACACTAAAACACAGCAGAAAATCATCACATCTGGAAAAGTGAACTTGTTTACATGCATTTGCTTAGCAGTCAGTCTATCAACTCTAGTTTTTAATGAAGCATTTTTTCCTTTTGGCAGAGCTATTTATTTGTATTAGAAACATGCATAATGCCCAGGAAAATATTCTTGCAGCCACCTGTAGATGTTTCATGAATGACTGATCTACATCGATGCCATAGGTAAAAGGAAAAATTATTTGAATTGTAAATTGCAGGTTGCAGACTGCTAAATCAAGCTGCGTACTACTCTGGGTAGTATGTTAAAGATTGTGGAGATATTTCTTTAGCTGCCATTTGAAACAAGCACAAATAACTGAACTATGGACAACAAACTCCATTTATCATAGCTACATTATCAAGACTAACCTAACAAAAGGAGTAAGAAGGTACAACTGCTGAAAATCATAAAGACATGTAATGAAAAATTTTACTTTTAAGTTTGGTATTGAGGATGGCTCACCTGAAGCAGACTTTTTCATCTCTTTTCAACTGCTTTAGGGAAACACCGTCTCTCTTTTTGGGACTTATGAGGTTGGACAGCTGCCTAGACACTGACGAAGAACGTGTGAATTTTGCTAGAAGAGATGAACTGAACAGAGCTCACAGCGAGGAACCAGATGGACCCCTGAACTTTGAGCTTGATGTTTGTCACCAGGATCCAGAATACATGTTCCCAGCTCCCTTGCCACATGACCAGGTCAAACTGATCACCAGCTGGGAAGCAGGATGGAATGTAACAAACGCCATTCAGGTAACCTTTTACTTCCCCACTTATTAAACTCATCATTTGAAAAACATGATCATCACTTAACCTGTTCTGTTTTACTTAGCTACACCATTATTTTGCAGTATTCTGGAAGGTTTCTATGAATTTATTACTCACATATTTGAACCTTTCTGCACAAGATTAGCACTCTGAAAAAAAGAGTTCTAAAGGGGAAAATGATACATATGTTATCTAATGTTTAAAAAATGTTTAAATTTTGTGAAATTGAAAAGGTGGTGATTGCACCTGTTTTGGAAGTGCAGGCATTATCTTTAATAAGTATATTTGAATTCAGTGACAGAGATGTTTGATAGAAGTGTGAGATAAATATCTAATAGAAAGAGGATGGTAAGAGCCAGACTGACGTCAGAAATAAATTTACTGACATGTAAGTTTGACTAGAAATAAATTGAAGCACGAAGCACAAGAAGTGTAATAATACTTGTCAATGTTAAAGAAAATAGTTAGGTTGAATAGACTGAAAACATTTGGTCCCAACATTCTGTGTGGAATTATGTGTGGAGTATCTTTCTGAATCCTTAAATTTAGCACTAAATGTTTCAGAATCTTCTTCTCACTTTTCATGATTCATTTCCTTACATAATTCCATCATTACCACTAACATTCTGCGTGACATGATGAGAATAAAGCAGTATCCACAGACACATCTAGTCCCAGTAACTTTTACTTAAATAATTTTTTATGCCACTTTAATTATAGAAGAATAATCTTTCTGGTATCACACAAGTCTGACTATGATGATGAACATTTGTTTACATATCCAATTCATTCCTCAGCTCTGCAAAGGAGGAGAAAAAGGACATATTTCTAACCCTGCTGCATTTTCAAACATGAGCACCACCACATGAGAGCCAACACAATAGCAGGGTACAGCAGCATATCATACTCTGAAAGTGTTCAACTGCGAATAAAAGTGTGAAGTCCTAAAATACCTCAACTGCATTCTAGTAACACATTTTATCTTCAGTCTCCCTCAGCAGCATCTAGACAGGACAGGAGTCTGGGATGAGAGCCCATTGTTTTCTCTGTGAGTTTTGCCTTTGATTCCACAGAAGCCAAGATTTCATTCTGGAAGTCAATTTTGTCAATGTTTGCTGTACGACCTTTTGGCAAGTCATGCTCTCTCACCCATTGTTTTCCTTTCCGAACAATGCCTTTGTAAATACACCAAAGGGCCCAAAAAATCCCAAATATTGTTGTGTACACAAGTACTATTAATTATTAATATTATAGTTTTCAGTTAAAAAATAGACTGAAAACACAGTGTAAAAACACAATCAAATATACAGTTGCCTGTTTAAAATGCGGGCAAATTCAAGCTAAACTATCCAATCAAATCAGTAACTATGGTCTTGGTCAAAACTCTCAGCATACTGAGTGTTGCATACCATTGCTTTCATTTGGTCAAATATTTTAGAAATCATCATTAAGAGAGCAGGCTGAAAACTGTAAAGCCTGGGAGCTGCAGTTTCATTAGTAGTACAACCAAAGGGTCCTAATGACACATTGTTAAACTGTGTGGATATGCAACCTCAAATGTGAATCTATGCACACATAGATTCTATGCATTTTTCCATTTCCCAAGACCTGGGATTGGGAGCAAGGCATTTGGTTTAGAAACAGGGGTAGAGAGCAGAGAAAGGGGGGGAGAAAGGCAGGAGAGGAGAGAGGAGAGAATATTGAATGGGCATCTGTCAGTAAAAAATAACAGTTTGAGGAAATTTTTATGAATAGCTTTGAAGAGAAAGTCTGAGTTGTGAGCAGAATGATTAAAACAATACAAACATTCTTGACTGGCAAAGACAGTCTATGCTAAAATGAGTTGTTTTGCCCTACCCAGAGGAAAGGACAGAAGTGTTTTGCATAGCAATTAGAGGTAAACATTTCAGCAGATTTCTGAAGTGTTCTAAACAGTTATTCTGGTGAATACAATTAGTCTAAAAGTGAAATTATTTCACAATCCAGATTTATTATGGGAACGATTAAATCTTTGGTCTCTGAAATCAAATGCAAGGGTTCTCTTACAGTGCTTTAAATATAAATATTTTCAAACAAACAGGAAGATATTTTTATTTTGTTCTCAACTTGAACTGCAAAAATGTGTGCTTCTGGTGAAGATATTTTATGTGTAAATGATTGCTTCAGACATTTAAGTTTCCAAGGAAACATGTTTCTTATTCCAACACTGCACAGGCAAATGAAAACCTATGTTCAGTTAATCTGGGTAAGGACAGAGAACATAAAACTGAGTTAATTCTAATGGGAAAATGTACAGTATCATCTGGCAGAGTGATGCAAGTTGCATTTGTTTGTATGTAGCAGCAAAAAGCAAAAAAATATATTTGTAATAACTTGTACAGTAGTGCTGGATAGATAAGCAAAGCAACAGCAACAAGGAAGAAGGTAGCTAAATTCTAATGGTAAAGCATTTCACAGCAGAACCAAAGGAAAAGAAAGACTATTTGCCAGCCACATATAGCAGAATTTTTGCAAACAGTGTCAGACTGGTAACCTGTCACTAGTGGGGTTCCACAGGACTTCATCTTAGACCCTGTGCTCTTCAACATCTTCATAAATTACTTGAATATTGGACTAAGCAAGTTCACAGTTGACACAAAACTAGGAGAAGCTGCTGACTCCCTCAAAGGCAGGGAAGCCCTGCAGAGACACGTCGACAAATTAGAGGACTGGGCAATCACCAACCATATGAAGTTCAACAAGGGAAAATGATGGATTCTACACCTGGGATGGGGCAACCCTGGGTGTTCATACAGACTGGAGAATGAGATGTTGGAAAGCAGTGCCACGGAAAGGGACCTGGGAGTCAACAGCAAGTTGAATATGAGTCCTCAGTGCCCTGGCAGCCAGGAGGGCCAACCATGTCCGGGGGGGCATCAGGCAAAGCATTGCCAGCCAGTCAAGGGAGGGGATTGTCCCACTCTGCTCTACCTGGTGCAGTCTCACCTTGAATATTGTGTGCAGTTTTGGTCACTGCAATATAAGAAAGACACTAAGCTCTTAGAGAGTGTCCAAAGGAGGGCAATGAAGATGGTGAAGGGCCTTGAGGGGAAGCCATATGATGAGCAGCTGAGGGCACTTGGTCTGTTCAGCCTGGAGAAGAGGAGACTGAGGGGAGACCTCATTGTAGTCTTCAACTTCCTCGTGAGGGGAAGAGGAGGGGCAGGCACTGATCTCTTCTCTGTGGTGACCAGTGACAGGACCCAAGGGAATGGTCTGAAGTTGTGTCAGGGTAAGTTTAGGCTGGACGTTAGAAAAAGATTCTTCACCCAGAGCGTGGTTGGGTGCTGGTACAGGCTCCCCAGGGAAGTGGTCACAGCACCAAGCCTGACAGAGTTCAAGAAACATTTGAACAACGCTCTCAGGTACATGATGTGACTCTTAGGGATGGTTCTGTGCAACGCCAGGAGCTGGACTCGATGATCCTTGTGGTTCCCTTCCAACTCGGCATATTCTGTGATTCTGTTAAAGTAAAAGAAAAAGGCATTCAGCTTATAGTATCATGAAGGGGTACAAGAGAACACAATCGAGAAAAAAACAGAGGGAGAGGAAGTGAAATAATGGCAAGAAGTGAAATAATATTAATCTCAGATGTAATTTATAACTCACATTTTTGAGTCAATATCCACTTAGGTCTCAGAAGCATAAACAAGTTTAACAGTGAAAAAAAGTCAGACATTTTACCAGAAAGCACCAAATGGCTTTAATTTTATTATAATGCCTGTACAATCTTTAAAATACTGTTTTATATAATTACACAATTTTCTCCTGGATGTTTTGTAAAATATGATATATCAAATCTGGTTGGAAAGCAGCCCAGCAGAAAAGGACTTAGGGATGCTTGTTGACAGCTGCCTGGACATGATCTAGCAGTGTGCCCAACTGGCCAAGAAGGCCAATGGCATCTTGAGCTGTATCAGCAATAGTTTGGCCAGCAGGACCAGGACAGTGACTGCCCCTCTGTATTTGGCACTGATGAGGCTGCACCTTGAGTGCTGTGTCCAGCTCTGGTCCCTTCACTACAAGGATATCAAAGTGCTGAAGCATGTCCAGAGAAGGCCAACAGAGCTGGTGAAGGGTCTGGAGCATATGTCTTGTGAGGAGCAGGTGAGGGAGCAGGGGTTGTTTAGCCTGGAAAAAAGGAGGCTCAGGGGAGACCTTATTACTCTCTATAATTGAGCAGAGGTTGCAGTGAGGTGGGGATTGGTCTCTTCTCCCAGGCAACTACTGACAGGATGAGAGGACATAACCTCCAGCAGGGGAGATTCAGGTTGGACATCAGGAACTATTTTTTTTGTGGAAAGTGTTGTTAAGCATTGGAATGGACTGTTCAATGGGGTGTTGGAGTCACCATCCTTGGAGGTGTTCAAGAAATGACTGGGTGTGGCACTTGTGTGGCACAGTCTAAAGGTGGACTTGATGACCTTAGAGGTCTTTTCCAACCTAAATGATTCTGGGATTCTGTGAAATCATACTGAATGGGCAGTTTGATTCAATGCCTCTGATAACTAATATTGCCAACTTTCATGTCCTGCATTTTTAAAAGAATTAAGTTGCACAAGGGTTAGAAATATCTGCAGAAGAGGGAATTTTACAATTCCATTATAAGAATAACACAATATGGTGCTTGTCTATTGTGAGTGCTTCTAGGAAATACCATAATTCAATTAGTAGTATTAATAATTATTTTATAATGTGTCAGTAATAAATTACTAATTATTGCAGTAGTAATCGTTATATATATATTCTGTATATTGTACATTAATTTAGAAAAGACTAAACACTTCAATAATCATCACTGAAGGACTGAATATCCACATGTCCTTCACTGTGTGCCTTTATAGCCTTATTTCCATACTGCTCTTCAATTCAGTTCATTTTAATTTATGTAAGTCTAAGAGATTCACTTGAAAATATCTCATAATTAACATTTATTACTCTATGAT